CTCCAAGTGAGGCTTCAACAATATGTGAACCAAGAACTTCCAGATGTTCAAGCTGGATATAGAAAAGGCAGAGGAACCAGAGATCAAATTGCTAACATCTCTTGGATCATCGAAAAAGCAAGAGTTCCAGAAAAATATCAACTTCTGCTTTATTGATTCCACCAAAGCCTTTGACTGTGTGAATCACAACAAACTGGAAAATTCCTCAAGAGCTGGGAATACGAGACCACCTTACCTGCCTCCTGAGAAATCTGTATGCAGGTCAGGAAACAACAGTTAGAACTGGACATGGAACAACAGACTGGTTCCAAATTGGGAAAAAGAGTACATCAAGGCTGTATATTGTCACCCTGCTTATTTAACTTATATGCAGAGTACATCATGAGAAACACTGGGCTGGATGAAGCACAAGCTGGAATCAAGATTGCCGGGAGAAATATCAATAACCTCAGACATGCAGATGGCAGAAAGAGAAGAAGAACTAAAGAGCCTCTTGATGAAAGTGAAAGAGGAGAGTGAAAAATTTGGCTTAAAACTCAACATTCAGAAAACTAAGGTCACGGCATCCAGTCTCATCACTTCCTGGCAAATAGATGGGAAAACTGGAAACAGTGACAGACTTTATTTTGGGGGGCTCCAGAATCACTGCAGATGGTGACTGCAGCCATGAAATTAAAAGATGCTTGCTCCTTGGAAGATAAAGCTATGACCAACCTAGACAGCATATTAAAAAGCAGAGACATTACTTTGCTGACAAAGGTCTGTCTAGTCAAAGCTGTGATTTTTCCAGTAGTCATGTATGGATGTGAGAGTTGGACTATAAAGAAAGCTGAGCACCGAAGAATTGATGCTTTTGAACTGTGATGTTGGAGAAGACTCTTGAGAGTCCCTTGGACTGCAAGGCAATCAAACCAGTCAATCCTAAAGGAAGTCAGTCCTGAATATTCACTGGAAGTACTGATGCTGAAGCTGAAACTCCCAATAGTTTGGCCACCTGATGTGAAGACCTGATTGATTGGAAAAGACCCTGATGCTGGGAAAGATTAAAGTCGGGAGGAGAAGGGGATGACATAGGATGAGATGGTTGGATGGCATCACTGTTGTGATGGACATGAGTTTGAGTATACTCCAGGAGTTGGTGATGGACAGGGAGGTCTGGTGTGCTGCAGCCCATGGGGTCGCAAAGAGTCGGACACGACTGAGCAACTGAACTGAACTGAAACTTTGATACAAGTAATTATAAAGATGTAAAGAGAAGTCTAAAGGGTACCTAAGGCTGGGGAAGTGGACACTAGGAAGAACAAACTCAAAAGGGGTCCACCTCCATGGCTGGAGCATGACCTCCTTGCAGAGACTGTGATCATAGCCCTGGATGGCAGAGAAGTTTGCTGGGTTTCCTGGAACAGAGGTGGTCCACAGTTGCTGCATGGCAGAGAAGTTCCCTCTGGGTACAAGTGAAATGAGACTGATGGGCAAGAATATAGAGTCTGGGCACCATTGGCCATGTGCGGCTGGAGCAGAGGGGTGCCTACATCAGAAGGGCCACAGTGAAGGCCAGGACTCCAAAGTCACCAAGCAGCTGGGCATGCAGTCTGGACATGCAGCTGGGACGGAGCAGCACTTCATTCCCCTCTCCCCTCAACAGATTGTGCAGCAGGAATAAGATTCACACCAGGAAGAGAAGCCCCCTTCTTCCTGCAGGGTTCCTCTAATACATGGCTTAGTGTCATACTCACTGTCAAGAGGTGCCTACAGGGTCTGGTCTGTTAGAGCAGAGACTAAAGGGTGAATTTGGAGCAGAAGGGCAATAATGTAATAATGGGTGATCCAAAACTATGTAAATTAAATTAGGAAAAGCCACCTAATCTGTCAATAACTCCCTTAACCCCTGTTCATTTCCCTTTCTTTCAGTCCCATAAATTTTACCACCAATAAATGTCAAAGCTCTCTAACTTCTCTTGTAATTTACTCTCTAGCAGCTCATTTGCCCCTGGGGTGTTGCGTCTGTTTTGTTTTCTTAATGAGGCACATGTCTTCTCTGGCACACACTTAAAAGAGACTCAAGTGAAAAGAGAGAGAGTGAAACACACAAACACCCTGAGACCCAGTGTTTCATTTTGTGTTTCATGTCTCCACTCGAACTTATTTTCCCACCATTTCTCCATTTAATTTCAAAGCAATCTACCTCTCCGTCCCAAACACTTTGGGAGTGTCTCCAAGCACTTGAATTCACCTGGGCATGGTCGGAATCAGAGCTGATCCAGGAACCAGTCTTCCTCTGCCTTTAAGGAAAATACAGTGGCCTCCTCAGTTCAGACTGGGGAGTCAATCTCTTTGAACAGATCTGAAGAGTCCAATATCTAACCATTATAGAAGGAAATTGGTGACAGAGCAAACAGCAGCCTGGCCAGATAATTACCAGCACAAATATTATTCAGAAAGCATTTGGAAAGGACTAGCAGTTTCAACTTTAAAGAGCCCTCCAGATGCTATCCTGGGGGAGAACATGTTATTAATAGGCTCCAAATTTATGTCAAGACAATGTTCTTAGGCATCAACCACCCTCTTCTTCCAAAATATTTCATTCTCTTCTGGCGAGTCAGATTTAATTAGTGTTAGCAGATGATTCCCTTGTAGGAATTAGCTAAACAGTGAGATAGGGATACAATTAAGACTTTCTCCAAAGCCCAGAGATAAATCCACGAACCTATGGTCACCTTATCTTTGACAAAGGAGGCAAGGATATACAATGGAAAAAAGACAACCTCTTTAACAAGTGGTGCTGGGAAAACTGGTCAACCACCTGTAAAAGAATGAAACTAGAACACTTTCTAACACCATACACAAAAATAAACTCAAGATGGATTAAAGATCTAAATGTAAGACCAGAAACTATAAAACTCCTAGAGGAGAACATAGGCAAAACACTCTCCGACATAAATCACAGCAGGATCCTCTATGACCCACATCCCAGAATTTTAGAAATAAAAGCAAAAATAAACAAATGGGACCTAATGAAACTTAAAAGCTTTTGCACAACAAAGGAAACTATAAGCAAGGTGAAAAGACAGCCCTCAGATTGGGAGAAAATAATAGCAAACGAAGCAACAGACAAAGGATTAATCTCAAAAATATACAAGCAACTCCTCCAGCTCAACTCCAGAAAAATAAATGACCCAATCAAAAAATGGGCCAAAGAACTGAACAGACATTTCTCCAAGGAAGACATACAGATGGCTAACAAACACATGAAAAGATGCTCAACATCACTCATTATCAGAGAAATGCAAATCAAAACCACAATGAGGTACCATTACACACCAGTCAGGATGGCTGCTATCCAAAAGTCTACAAGCAATAAATGCTGGAGAGGGTGTGGAGAAAAGGGAACCCTCTTACACTGTTGGTGGGAATGCAAATTAGTACAGCCACTATGGAAAACAGTGTGGAGATTTCTTAAAAAGCTGGAAATAGAACTGCCATATGACCCAGCAATCCCACTTCTGGGCATACACACCGAGGAAACCAGATCTGAAAGAGACACGTGCACCCCAATGTTCATCGCAGCACTGTTTATAATAGCCAGGACATGGAAGCAACCTAGATGCCCATCAGCAGATGAATGGATGAGGAAGCTGTGGTACATATACACCATGGAATATTACTCAGCCATTAAAAAGAATTCATTTGAATCAGTTCTAATGAGATGGATGAAACTGGAGCCCATTATACAGAGCGAAGTAAGCCAGAAAGATAAAGACCATTACAGTATACTAACACATATATATGGAATTTAGAAAGATGGTAACGATAACCCTATGTGCAAAACAGAAAAAGAGACTCCTATGTATAGAACAGACTTGTGGACTCTGGGAGAAGGCGAGGGTGGGATGTTTCAAGAGAACAGCATTGAAACACGTATATTATCTAGGGTGAAACAGTTCACCAGCCCAGGTTGGGTGCATGAGACAAGTGCTCGGGCCTGGTGCACTGGGAAGACCCAGAGGGATTGGGTGGAGAGGGAGGTGGGAGGGGGGACCGGGATGGGGAATACATGTAAAAAAAAAAAAAAAAAAAAAAGATACACTATGGTTGTGATAAAAAAATAAATTAATTAATTAAAAAAAAAAAAAAAAGACTTTCTCCAAGGATGAAGTGATTTGCGAACCTAATCTTTTTACTATCCTTCAGAAGTGATGAGAAGATATCCCTGTAAGGTCAGAAAAAATGGCAGTGGGGAAAAGTAGACGAACTTAGTCTTCTCACCAGAGTGTATATCTATATACGTGGTTCTCTTACATATTTTTTTGCAAGTGTTGGGCATTCTGGGCCTGTAGAACCAAGCCTAGATTGACAAGAAGCCATCTCAGTACTTTTTTAAGCTCCACCTTCATACCCCTATGTGTACCAAAGAAATCATGCTTTTAAATGATCAAGAATAATACACTGGGTAATGGGATTGTGGACAGTCTATATTTTCTTCTTTTTGTTTATCTGTATTTTCTGCAATGAGTGTGTGTTATTTCCAAAATTAAATGTATGTAAACACTTTAATGAAAAAAAAAAAAAACTTATTTTTCTTCTCTAAATCTCAGGCTGTATTACTGCTTTTTGTCTCCTATCTACCCAGAACCTTTTTAGCCTCTTCCCTCTCCCTGTTTAGATTAACTGCCAAAAATCAGCAGACTTCCTTTTTGGAAGAGATTTATTTCTTCACTCTTGAACTTCTAAAAACAGCTTGTTTTATCTTCTTCCCCTCACCAAGCGGTGATGGATGCTACACCTGCCTCTGATGTGACAAAATGTAAGCGATGAATAAAAGCTTCTCATGATTCTTGCACATTCTGAGGCAGCGGAAAGCTCTCACCAGGGGCCCTGAGCCATGTGAAGATGCTCTGTGGGGAGTTATTCTGCCTCACGCACCATTGGGCCAACTTGGGGGCACCTTGAGGATCTCACCTACCGTCACTAACCTTTGATTTGTTTCTCTGCTCTTTCAGATTTTTGACAATGAAGCCAAAGACCTGGAGAGAGAAGTTTGCTTTATCGATATTGCCTGTGATGAAATTCCAGAACGTTACTACAAAGAATCTGAGGTGAGCAATAGACGGATTGTCATGTGGAAGAGAGTTATTCTTTCAGCAAACTTGTGTTAAGTCCACCCTGACCCAGGACACATCCATCTGTCTTTGTGTTGATTCAATTTACTGTTACATCTTACTGAATTCTTTACTTTGAGACTCAGAGTGGAGTTCCTACTTCTTGGGGCCCATCATTAACCCCAGCTGCCACTCAGTTTCAATGTAGTCTTCTGTCTCCCCAGCTCTGCCATCATTCTGGACAGCAAAATAACTCGCAAGGCTGAACCACACAACTGAAAACTGGCCTATAAAACACAGTGGCCACCTCTGGCTTCCTGTTTGGCCAGGCCTGGGGCCAGCCTGTCTCCTCCTCTGCAGGGGCTGTGTTTTATTTATATCTTTGGGGTCTAACACAAAGAAAAGGCTCAGTGAGTCCTCCCTGAGTGAATATTGAAACTTGGGCAGCTTGTCTCTGCACAGAAACTTTGTCTCAAACCTGAAAGGACCTTCATAAAGCTCTCTCCTTTTTTTTATCTTGACTGAGAATAAATTTAAGAAAATATCTTTCCGTATGATTTCCACCTGCCAGAATCCACTGTTTGCCTCAGTGCAAACTTTTATCCTGTTAGTATAAGTCACCACTTAGGGCCTGTTAGTATTTTATTAATGGCTGCTGATGGAACTTGGGTGACCCCCTTGTAAATAACGTCTGCAACAACAGATGCTGGGCTATTTTTGTTGTTTAGCAACATGCAGCCAATCACAGTATGTTTGGACCCGTGGCCCTCTTCTCGTCCTTGAGCGGTAACACATGGACCTTGAAACTCTTTCCTCGGCTTCATTAAGGCTGATTTAAGATGTAATAAATAAACCCGGTAAGAATGAATCCCACCGTGACGCACGCTGGGCTCTAAGTGTGGTTCAGATGTTTTTTGCCTCCACCTTTTGGGATCCATTTGGATGTCAGAGTCTAACCCAGTCTTAGCGAATGCTTAGCTGCTTAATTGCAGGCATGTGCTCTGCAGCTGCTGTCCCTTCAAATCTTGGGAGAGGCTGATGGGAATTCCTCTTCGTGGGACTCAAAGGCTGAGCCCTTGAATGTTATCCATTTACATTATACTCTGCAGCCAGCCACACTCATGAATTTTCAGAAAAACAAAGCAAAATGCCCTCTGCATAACTGTGGACCTGCTCAAGAAGAGAAGTCTGGCCTCCCCTTGTCTTACTTTTCTGTGGTTTCATCTCAAGGCCACCAATACTTACGGGGCGTCAGTGATGGGGAAAGTGTCATGCAGCGCACTGGGTGAAGCTGTTGCCTTGCCGCCTCTGTGGCTTCTTGAGCCTGGGGGACTGTTGTCTTACCTGAACATCCTGGTCCCTTTGGTAGCTCAAGCCTTCTAGAAAGGCAGAGTTGCCAGAACACTCTGAACTGATTTCAGCTCTTCCTCTTAGATGGCTTCAGTGTGGTCCTGCCTGGCATCGGGGATCCCCTGATTCAGTGGAAAATCTTAGCACAGATACAGAATACTAATGACAAAATCAACAAGACTCATTTCTGTCAGGCAGTGCCTGACTCATCTCCCTGAGCTTTGTGCTCCCAAGAACCACCACCGGCAAGCTTTTCCTCATTGACACAGATACTCGAGGAACACTTTTTTCATGCTTCACTGTCATTCATTTTCCCGGGCCATAAAGTATTCTTTTCAAGATACAGTTTGACCAAGGAAATGAGAGGGGAATAGTCACTCATCCAGTAAATATGTACTGAGTACTCACTGCGTGTCACAGACAATATTTAGATGGGGACATGGCAATGAACAGAAGAGACACAGAGGGTCTCTTCCCTTACAACACTTCCAGTCTAGCACGGGAGCCAGGCAATAAAGAACTAATCCCATAATAAACATGTGGAGTTAAGGAAGTTTGCAGGGAGAGACCATGATAAGGAAACTGAATATAAGAGGATGGGATCAGGAAAGATGCTCGGGAAGACATGACCCACAGGAGGAAAAGAGCTGGGGTCAGTGCTCCAGGTGGAGGTGACAGCATGCATGGGAGTCCCACGGTGACACCTGGGAGGAAGCAAAAGAGACCAGTGTGGCGGCAGCAACAGAAGGAAGAATGGCAGGCAGGGAGGTTGGGAAAGATGATGAAGCCACGTTAAGATGCTTAGATTTTATTCACCTGCAGTGGAATCCTCTGAAGGAATTAAAGCTGGGGCATCATGTGCTCTGATTTGTGCTTTTAAAAGTTTGCTCTGGGTGGAGAATGGACTGTCCAGGAGCAGAGTGGAAGTCAGGAAACCACTGAGGTCATCGGAATTATCTACTGTGTTAGTTATTTAGGTTATATGTAACTTGAGCTGGAGGGCTGGGAACAGAGGGTTCTGAGGTATCTACTGAAGATAGAATTGACAGGGATTGGTCATAAACTGGGTGTGAAGATAAGAGAAAAGGAAGAGTCAGGATGACCCTAAGGTTTACTGCGTGGACAACAGATAGATGGGGATGAGAGAAGAAAAGGAATGGATTTTGGAGAAAGATAGATAGATTTTGTGATGCCAATGAGACATCTAGAACAAACAGAAATTAGTCTGGAGCTTAGATAAGAGATCTGGGCTAGAGACAAATTGGGGAGTATTTTGGAAATAGAAGCATTTAAAGTCCTGAGGATGAATGAGAGTGAACAAGCATAATGTATAAGTTCAGGTCCTAGTATCACATTTAGGACAGTAGTTGGAGATCAGAGAGAGGATGGCGAGGCCCCAGGAATCTGCAAAGAACTGGACAGAGAATTAGAAGGAAAACAAGAAGAGAGCACCAAGGTATGCAAGTTTCGAGAGAAGAGAGCGAATGGTTATGCTTAGTGCCACTGAGAAATCAAATAAGATAATGGAAAACTGTCTCCAAGAGCAGTGGCTCTCAACTGAGAGCATCCTTACCCCACAAGGATGCTTACAATGTCTGGAGACATTTTTGGTTGTCACAACTTGGGAGTGCTACCAACCGTAACCACATTCTAGAATAAACAGGACAGCCCCCACAACAAGAGTTGTTGTTTAGTCACTAAGTTGTGTCTGACTCTTTTCTGACCCCATGGTCTGTAGCCCACCAGGCTCCTCTGTCCATGGAATTTTCCAGGCAAGAATACTGGTTGCCGTTTCCTTCTCCAGAGGATCCTCCCAACCCAAGGATTGAAGCCAAGTCTCCTGCACTGCAGGCAATCAGATTCTTTACCTCTGAGCCACCAGAGAATCCCAATCCTCACATGTCAGTATGCCAAGGCTGGAAAATCCTGCCCTGAAAGTAAAGGTCATTGGAGATGAATTGGATTTCATTCATTGGCAGTCTGGATTTTGTTCTCACACCCAGAGCCACCCCTGCCTGTCCTGGAATCTTAGGGTTACTTAATGGATGTGGGAGAAAGGGGCCCCAGAAGGCTCGGCCCTACACATTCTGTCAAGCACTGCTTCCCAGACGATCACCAGCCTACATTACATGTAGAATTTTTTCTCACTGTCTCTGGCAGTTAGACCACAAAGGAAAGAGCATAATTGATAATTGCAGTAAAACCATAGGAAAAGTGTGTTCCATGGGATTCCCTTGTGACCCAAACCCACCATCAGTCAACTTTCAGAATCCAGATTGCAGTATGAACCCACCAGAAGGGAGAGAGTGAGTTTCCAAGGCTGTTTGGGTTGTGTGTCATTAGCCAGAGACTGAGAATAAGGGCTGGAGATACCAAGGGAACATTTCATGCAAAGATGGACACAATAAAAGACAGAAACGGCATGGACCTAACAGAAGCAGAAGATATTAAGAAGTGGCAAGAAAACACAGAAGAACTATACAAAAAAGATCTTCATGACCCAGATAACCACAGTGGTGTGCTCACTCACTTAGAGCCAGACATCCTGGAATGCGAAGTTAAGTTGGCCTTAGGAAGCATCACGACGAACAAAGCTAGTGGAATTCCAGTTGAGCTATTTCAAATCCTAAAAGATGATGCTGTGAAAGTGCTGCACTCAATATACCAGCAAATTTGGAAAACTCAGCAGTGGCCCCAAGACTGGAAAAGGTCAGTTTTCATTCCAGTCCCAATAAAAGGCAATGCCAAAGAATGCTCAAACTACCGCACAATATCACTCATCTCACATGCTCGCAAAGTAATACTCAAAATTCTCCAAGCGAGGCTTTAATAGTACATGAACCAAGAACTTCCAGGTGTTCAAGCTGGATTTAGAAAAGGCAGAGGAACCAGAGATCAAATTGCCAACATCCATTGGATCACCGAAAAAGCAAGAGAGTTCCAGAAAAACATCTATTTCTTCTTTATTGACTGTGCCAAGCCTTTGACTGTGTGGATCACAACAAACTGTGGAAAATTCTTCAAGAGATGGGAATACCAGACCACCTTACCTGCCTCCTGAGAAATCTGTATGCAGGTCAGGAAGCAACAGTTAGAAATGGACATGGAACAGACTGGTTCCAGATTGGGAAAGGAGTACGTCAAGGCTGTATATTGTCACCATACTTACTTAACTTCTGTGCAGAATGCATCATGTGAAATGCCAGGCTGGATGAAGCACAAGCTGGAATCTAGACTGCCAGGAGAAATATCAATAACCTCAGATATGCAGATGACACCACCCTTATGGCAGAAAACAAAGAAGAACTAAAGAGCTTCTTGGTTGAAAGTGAAAGTTGGCTTAAAACTCAACTTTCAGAAAACTAAGATCATGACATCTGGTCCCATCACTTCTGGCAAATAGATGGGGAAACAGGGGAAACAGTGACAGACTTTATTTTCTTGGGCTCCAAAATCACTGCAGATGGTGACCGCAGCCATGAAATTAAAAGACGCTTTCTCCTTGGATGAAAAGCTGTGACCAACCTAGACAGCATACTAAAAAGCAGAGACATTACTTTGCTGACAAAGGTCCGTCTAGTCAAAGCTATGGTTTTTTCAGTAGTCATGTATGGATGTAAGAGTGGGACTATAAGGAAAGCTGAGCA